TTCTATGGGCGCCCATGGTTCTGGGTCACACTCGTACCCGGATGGCGTGATCTGCAAGAAAATAATAATGGTCAGTTCTCTTTTCCACAGATTAGTGTGGCGGTTACGGACCGTCGACCATTTGACGTTTTGCGTCCATCTGGGAAGTTTTTGCCGCCAGGAATGTCAAATAAACACCTTGGTCGTCTTCGATTACGCTTTTTGCTTTCTGGACTCGGACATGACTGTTCGGAGAGGTTTTTGGAGACGCAGCGAGAGTGATTCTTTCAATTCTCGTTGGATTTTTATTTTTCGAGGAATTTCTCACGGATTTGAAGAAAAGCGACTCACGCTTGGGTACATTCGTAACAATTCGGAACGTGAATGGATTTTTTCGATTGCGTCACTGCAGGGTTTCGAAAAAAACGCGGCGCGAACGAAGTTTCTCAGTTTTGTAATAACTTGGCAGCTGTTTAATTTTTTCTAATTATGTCTACTAGCCAGTCGCAACTAAGAATGAATATGTATTATTTTGGAAAAAACTCTGTTCTCTATAAACGTTCAATTTATTTTTTTTTTTAATTTCAAAAAAGGCTATCTGCAAATGAAAAAAGCTAGTCCCCAATTCAACTGTGAAGAGTTAATGATGAGAATGGTGAAGATATTTTCTGTCACTTTTAAATTTTTTAAAATTTTTGTTAATTAAAAAAAAATTGCAAGTCAATCGCGTAACTATAGACAAAATTTTGAAAACTTTCGAACTGGTGTAGTCCAGTTCAGCTGTATCATCCAAGTTCTCTGAAGTAACATTTTCGACAATAAAAGTACAGGTGACACAAATCCAAGCGGGTCGAAAATTTTGTTGGTGATGGACGAAATTAGCTTCTTCATTATGCAGCTATGACTATTATGAAAATTAAAAATGTTTAAAATGGAAAATTTGTATAAGGAAATATCGATTTTGCAATTTCTTGTTGTGAAAAGATGGCTATGTATATTAAGAAAAAACAAGGCAAAATATAAGCCCCACCCACCCTATCTCGATTCTGATGATTTTTTTATTTGTCGTAAGCCGAGGGGAAGGGCATAATTGTAAAATCCTTACTTTTCTACGAGTAACTTACAATTTTAAACATGTTTAATGTTTCTAAGAATAAAAAAAATCTTCACAATCGAGATGGGGTGGGTGGGCGGGGCATATATTTTCCCTTTTTTTCTTAATGTGTGTAGTATTCTTTGAACACGATACTCAGAAACGTGATTTTAATTTCTTGTAAGGAAATAAGTATTTTGCACTTGAGATCCGCCCCTTTAGTTCACGACGAATAAAAAAATAATCACAATTGAGATGGGGCGGGAGGGCGGGCTTATATTTTGCCTTTTTGTTTTAATATGTGTAGATTTCTTTTCACAACATGAAACTTAAAACATGTTTAAAATGGAAAATTTGTATTAGGAAATATCAATTTTGCAATTTCTTGTCGTGAAAAGATGAACATGTATATTAAGAAAAAAAAAGGCAAAATATAAGCCCCGCCCACCCACCCTATCTCGATTCTGATGATTTTTTTATTCGTCGTAAGCCGAGGGGCAGAGCATAATTGTAAAATCCTTATTTTTCTACGAGAAACTTACCATTTTAAACATGTTTTTGTTTCTAAGAAAAAAAAATCTTCACAATCGAGGTGGGGAGGGTGGGCTGGTTATATATTTTCCATTTTTTTCTTAACATATGAAGTATTCTTTGAACAACACGATACTCAAAAACCTGATTTTAATTTCTTGTAAAGAAATAAGTATTTTGCCGTTAAGCTCCACCCCCTAGTTCACGATGAATAAAAAAATAATCACAATTAGCATGGGGCGGGTGGGCGGGCTTATATTTTGCCTTTTAGTTTTAATATGTGTAGATTTCTTTTTACAACATGAAACTTTAAACATCTTTAAAATGGAAAATTTGTATAAGAAAATATCCATTTTGCAATTTCTTGTTGTAAAAAGGTGGCTATGTATATTAAGAAAAAAGGGCAAAATATAAACCCCGTCCACCCACCCTAACTCGATTCTAATGATTTTTTTATTCGTCGTAAGCCGAGGGGCAGAGTATAATTGTAAAATCCTTACTTTTCCACGAGAAACTTACCATTTTAAACATGTTTTATGTTTCTAAGAATAAAAAAGATCGTCACAATCGAGATGGAGTGGGTGGGCGGGGTATATATTTTCCCTTTTTTTCTTAATATGTGTAGTATTCTTTGAACAACACGGTACTCAAAAACATGATTTTAATTTCTTGTAAAGAAATAAGTATTTTGCGGTTAAGCTCCGCCCCCTTAGTTCACAAACGAATAAAAAATTATCACAATTGAGATACGGCGGGTGGGCGGGTGGGCTTATATTTTGCCTTTTTGTTTTAATATGTGTGAAGTTCTTTTCATAACATGAAACTTAAAACATGTTTGAAATAGAAAATTTGTTCAAGGAAATATCCATTTTGCAATTTCTTGTTGTGAAAAGATGACGATGTATATTAAGAAAAAAAAAGGCAAAACATAAGCCCCGCCCACCCCCCCTATCTCGATTCTGATGATTTTTCTATTCGTCGTAAGTCGAGGGGCAGGGCATAATTGTAAAATCCTTATTTTTCTACGAGAAACTTACCATTTTAAACATGTTTAATGTTTCTAAGAATAAAAATAATATTCACAATCGAGATGAGGTGGGTGGGCGGGGTATATATTTTCCCGTTTTTTCTTAATATGTGTAGTTTTCTTTGAACAACACGATACTCAAAAACGTGATTTTAATTTCTTGTAAAGAAATAAGTATTTTGCAGTTAATCTCCGCCTCCTTAGTTCACGACGAATAAAAATATAATCACAATTGAGATAGGGCGGGTGGGCGGGCTTATATTTTGTTTATTTGTTTTAGTATGTGTAGATTTCTTTTCACAACATGAAACTTAAAACATGTTTAAAATGGAAAAGTTGTATAAGGAAATATCGATTATGCAATTTCTTGTTGTGAAAAGATGGCTATCTATATTAAGAAAAAAAAGCAAAATATAAGCCCCGCCCACCCACCCTATCTCGATTCTGATGATTTTTTTATTCGTTGTAAGCCGAGGGGCAGAATATAATTGTAAAATCCTTATTTTTCTACGAGAAACTTACCTTTTTGAACATGTTTAATGTTTCTAAGAATAAAAAAAATCTTCACATTCGAGATGGGGTGGGTGGGCGGGGTATATATTTTCCCTTTTTTTCTAATTTGTGTAGTATTCTTTGAACAACACGATACTCAAAAACGTGATTTTAATTTCTTGTAAAGAAATAAGTATTTTCCAGTTAAGCTCCGCCCCCTTAGTTCACGACGAACAAAAAAATAATCTCAATTGAGATAGGGCGGGTGGACAGGGGTGCAAGATTTTCGTGCAACTGTTACTCATTATATTTTTTTCAAATTTTTGATTTGCATTTTCAACCAAATCCCTCATTGCATGGGTTTTGCTGGACCATTTTATTCTTTGTTTTTTTCTTATTTCTTCTTTAGCTTTTCTGGTATAATTTTCAAACAGTAAACTATCATTCTTGCAGTAAATTTTGTTTTGCTGTTGCAGCACGTTGGAAATTGTATTGAGCGATAAGTCGAATTTTTCCTAATTTCTTTCTTCATGACTTCCAAAACATTACCAGTGCAAAAATTATTCATCTTTAAATAATCTCTCAAATTACAAAATATTTGCGACGAATTTGGGAAAATATATTTTCTAAACAATCTTGAGAAAATCTCGATGTTAATAAATATGAGCTTTTTTTTTCGTTCAAAAACAAGTTTTGCAGGTCTAAAATTGATGTTGTAGCCTGTTTGAATACGCTTCCAAAGTGCTTTTCCAAATTTGTCAGGAGCGACTTTTAAATTTAAGAATAACTTAATCAACTCTTGAAGGAATTCTATAGTTTCCTTATACACAGCCATATTAAACTTGCTCAAGGCCAAAATAGTTGATCTAGAACTAATCAACTTGAACCACCTATGTACAACATCAATAAAAACAGCTGTCGTTAGAGAAGATTTGTCTTCCGCATCAAATTTTATTCCACAACTAACATTTCGATTCAAAACGTTTAGAGAATTTGACACTTTCATTTTGTTAAAATGGTTAGATTGTAAAAGATCCACATTTAATTTAGACGCAAATTACAGCTCAAATTTGCCTTCTTCTTCACAAAAATCTTTAATGTGTTGCACGTCAACTAAATCAGAAGTTAGTTTATATTTTTCAACAAAATCATTTGGTAATTGAACGATTTTGTTTTGTACCAAACATTGCCTTATATTTTTTAATAAATGTGGCCCATCTGTTAAAAAGTAAATTTTTTCTCCGTTAACTGGGTTTAGGACATAATTTTTTGTTTACATTTTCTTCCAGCTTTAATTCCAAAGGTTTTCCACATAGCTTGATTCGCCGATCCGATATCTGAGGTTACAGAATGAACCTTCAAACCAATTGCACTGATTTTCTTAAAAACTCCTTTAAGAACATCAGCTAGAACTGCCCCATTCATACCGTCTCCAGTAAAATAGTATGAAACAATCGTTGCATAACACATCTACCAGTATTCTTCAACTTGAAGATTTCCTCTCGTCTCCGCCGCCACCTGCGCCATCAATCACCAGTCAATCACTCACTCAATCAATACCCGACTCATTAAAAGCAATCTGCGACGTGCCGGGAATAGGTATAGATGGAAATCGGCGCAGACAAGGGCGACAATAAACCCGGCAATATGCATAACATAGTCCTGACAGCTTTTTTGTTGTACGACAGGAGAGTGCAGCGTCGGCTCTAACGAGCGTCGAGGGTGGCATCGAGGGGCGCGACCCTAGACCCTCGCAAATTAAAGGCCGACTTCTATTTCTCTTGTGCGCGCCGGGGAGCCGTTCCGGCACACCCCGTTGTCCCTTTCCCTGTTCCGGGAGCAAATTATCCGGACTCTGACGAAATTTGTTTGTTGCAGTTGAGGATGTCGAGCAACATACACGGAGGGCACCACGGCCATCACGGGGGGGTGTCGTCGAGATGCCACGGGCCGCCGAGGTAATTATACTATCTAGATATTAACTAAAAAAAATGGTCACTTTTGACTTTTCTGTTTTGTATCTCAAGTTATAATATACCGACATTTAAATCTTAACATTTATAATAATTTCATTCTGATCTGAAATATCTAAAATGTTTAATGCAATTATTCCAATGCACAGCTGGAACTTGACCAATCACATTTTGCCAAGTTGCACAAACATCATTAAGGGAAGAGCTGGTTCTTGGAATGATCTTATCATAATTTCTTTTAACTTCCGACCATGCCATTTCAATAGCGTTGAAATGACAGTGGTAAGGTGGCAGCCTCAGTACCCAATGCCCATGATGTTGGGCCTATAAATCTAAATGATAACGTTTTTGGGGTTGTTTGTTAGCCAATATTCCCCAGATTTGGTCTTTCATGGCCTCGGGTCGATAATCAATCCCATTTTTATTTAAATATGCTATCATTTTTGTCTTTGTCCAACTTTTTCGAGGAATTTCTTCCTACAAATAAAGTAAAGTTTTATTACACCAGATATGTACTAAACCCGAAGAACAACGAAGAGTTGAAATATGGGTTGGAAAAATTAATGAGAATGACGTCGAGAACTGAAACAAAAATTAGAAAAGCAAAGAAAATTGGGGATAAAACATGCGTGATCGAAATGGAAAATTGGAAAGAAAAGACCAGCTTAAGACGAGCGACTGAAGAATATTAACAATGACCTGACGGAAAAAAGAAAAAGGAAGAAAAAACCAAAGAGACCAAACCAAAATGGGATATAAGCAATTAATAATAAGCGAAAAAAAAATGTAATAGGAATGAAAACAGGGAAGAATTAATGAAAGCAAAAAAGAACCATGAATATAACCCAAAAAACTACACACCAAATACAACAGAAAGGAAAATTATGGTGACGAAAAGCGAGAAATAAGGATAAATAAGATATAAATAGGAAAAGAATAAACAAAAAAGGGAAAAGTGGAATAACAGACACAGACTCTGTAAAAAAGAGAGAAAGCAAAAACAAGATTAATCAGAAAAGTAATTGGAGTAATGGAAGAAACAGGAACAGAAATACTGACATTAACAGAAACGAAAAGTATGTATAGGGATAGAGGAAGACCACAGTGGAATGGAGAAAACAAAGAGAATGGAGAAAAAACGATCAAACAATAAGATTGGAAATAGAAATAGAGAATGAAATATATACAATTATAGCACTCTAGAAAAGAACAGACAAATTTCGGAAACAACGACAAGAAAGAACCGAGGATTATAAAGATTTTTACTTTGAGCGTAAGTATTGTAAACGAGTCCGTCGGCCAACCCTCTACTTTTACGTTTTCTCGACCTTTCATGACCCCTAGAGTACGAAGAAATAAGTTTCCGTCTGTCTGTCCGTCTGCTGTCCCCATTTTTATTAAACAGATAATCTCCGAAACTACCGGACCGATAGTTGTCAAAATTTGTTTTTATATTAGGAATATCATGTAGATGGTAAAATGCTAACCAAAATTTGTGAAATCATTCCCATTAATAACGTGATGACGTCACTTCAAATATCTACATAGTAAATAGGTTCTAAAATGGTATGAAATAACATAGTCCTACACATGTAGTTTATGATTCCGTATTGAGTTTTTAACCAAAAGAACTTCCCTCGCACCAAAAGTATAATGGAACATACCCAGAATTTTCGAGTTGAGTCATCAACAATTTTGCAAGGACACGTATATGAATTTGGATTTTGGTAGTGTAGTACTTGCTAAGATAAGACTGATTGTGGAAACCTACATAAAACTTAGCCCCGCCCACCCACCCGTTCTCCTAATTTTTTTTCTCAAGAACAAGAAATAAATGTTGCAGCAAATAAGTAGTACGTTCTATTCTCACTTTACAAAAGAACATATAATTCACCCCACTTCCATTCATTTTGTCTAGTCCGAATGAAAGTGGATTTCAATTGAAGAGAAATAAAATTGTTAAAATAAGAACAGCGTATATGGGAGGGGCTAGTATCTGCTAAGATAAGATTGATTTTGGTAAATGGCATATCCTCTAGGAAAATAAAGGGTGGGTGGGAGGGGCTAGTTCGTGGTAAGATAAGACTGACTGTGGCAAACGATATACCCTCTATGAAAATAGAGAGCGGGTGGCCATAGCTGGTATGACTAAACAATATTAAGATTAATCAGTGGAATGAAGGTGGGGTGGGTGGGCGGGGCTCTCGCTTGCTTATAAAAGATGCTGAAGGAAAAAGTAAAACTTAGCCCCGGCCACCCACCAAGAAATAAATGTTACTGCAAATGAGTAGTATAACAAAAGAATTACGATTAACGTTTTTGTTTAACAGCCTACGTTCTATTTTCACTTTACAAAAGAACATATAATTCACCCCATCTCCATTCATTTTGTCTAGTCCGAATGAAAGTTGGATCTCAATTGAAAAGAGATAAAATTGTTAAAATAAGAACAGCGTATATGGGGGGGGGCTAGTATCTGCTAAGGTAAGATTGATTTTGGTAAAGGACATACCCTCTAGGAAAATAAAGGGTGGCTGGGAGGGGCTAGTTCGTGGTAAGATAAGACTGACTGTGCCAAATGACATACCCTCTAAGAAAATAGAGGGCGGGTGGGCATAGCTAGTATGACTGAACAATATTAAGAGTAATCACTGGAATGAAGATGGGGTGGGTGGGTGGGGCTATCGCGTGCTTATAAAAGATGCTGAAGAAACAAAGTAAAACTTAGCCCCGCCCACCCACCCCGTTCTCTCATTTTTTTCTTCAAAAATAAGAGATAAATGTTACACCAAGTGAGTAGTATAACAAAAGAATTACGATTAACGTTTTTTTTAATAGCCTACGTTCTATTCTCACTTTAGAAAAAAACATATATTCACCCCACCTCCATTCATTTTCTCTAGTCCGAATGAAAGTTGGATCTTAATTGAAGAGAGATAAAATTGTTAAAATGAGTACAAGGTATATGGGAGGGGCTAGTATCTGCTAAGATAAGATTGATTTTGGTAAATGACATACCCTCTAGGAAAATAAAGGGTGGGTGGGAGGGGTTAGTTCGTGGTAAGATAAGACTGACTGTGGCAAACGACATACTCTCTAAGAAAATAGAGGGGGCGTGGGCGGGACTAGAACTTATTAATATAAGATTTATTTTGGTAAATGACATATCTTCTAAGAAAAACAAGGGTGGGTGGGCGGGGCTAAAATTTGTTAAGCTAAGGCTGAACAATTTAAGAGTAGTCACTGGAACAAAGAAAGGGTAGGTAGGGGCTACTGCTTGCTCATAAAACCAGAAAAAACTAAATTTAGCCCCGCCCACCTTGTTTTCCCATTTCACTGACTTATATTATTTAGAGTAAAATGGAAATTGAAAAATTAGCAGTATTCCAAAAATTTTCTGGGAAATCGGAGTCAGCCATTCCTGATCAAATCAATAAAATAAATTGACTCCTTCGTTAATTTTTTGAGTCACTCTGTATATGCAAATTCAAAAAATATTAAAGGAATGATAAATTACAAGTACAAATTCATCATATTTTGTACAAATTAGTAGGATTTATTTGGCAAAATTTTGAGCTGATATCAGCTTATTTGGTGATTACAAAATAATGAAAACATTTTATTTATTTTTCTCTTGCAATTGACGTCACTTCAAAATTTTGCTGGGTACATTTCGACCAATTCTTTTAGGGTATAAATGAATAAAACACAGGTAAAGGACATCAATTTCAAGTAAAATGTACTCAGCAAAATTTTGAAGTGACGTCATAAATTTTTTGTAAGAGAAGTTAGTTTCTTGGCGAAACCGTAAATTTTAAATCTGTTAATTTAATTTTTTTAGAGTAAATTTTTTTTTAATAAAAGTGCTTTCGAAAAATCGAAATATCGCTAAATCAAACAATCGAAAAATTGAAACATCGGAATATCGGTAATTCGCAAAATTGAAAAACCCAAAAATTGAAACCTGAAAAGTAGAAAAATCGAACATCAAAACATCGAAAAATTGAAAAATCTAGTTGAAGTTGTCAAAATTGAAATGTTGAAAAATTGAGAAATCAAAAATTCGAAACATTGAAAATTAGAAATACCGAAGAACTGAAAAAAAACTGACAAATCCAAGAATCGAAACATCTAAAATTAAAAAATCAAGAAATCGAAAGATCAAAAAATTAAAAATTTTAAAAATCGAAAAACTGAAAAACAAAAACCATAAGTTGAAATAACGAAAGATCAAGAAATCGAAACAAAATCTAAAATTTAAAGTTCAAAAAATTGAAAAATAGAATATCAAAGAACTGAAAAATCTTAAATTAGGGAAACCGAAACTTTCAACATCTTAATAATTGAAAAGTTAAAATAAGTATGTATAGAAAAATTGAAAAATCGACAAATCAAAACAAAAAATTGAAAAACTGAAAAACGAAAAAGTAAAAAACCGAGAAATCGTAAAATTGAAAAATTGAAAAACTGAAGAATCGAAAAGTGAAAAAATGAAAATCGAATCATAGAAAATTTGAAAAATCGGAAAATGGAAAACGATAACACGAAAATTCAAAAAATTTAATCGAGAAACTGAAAAATCGAAACACTGGAAGGTCAAAAAATTGGGAAAAAAAATTTCAAAACTAAAAGGAGTAATTGGGAAATCCAAAAATTGAAAAATTGAAACATCGATAAATTGGAAAATCGAATAATCGAATAGCCGAAAAATCGAAAAATCGAAAATTTGAGAAATTGAAATGGGTCAAAATTGAAAAAATTGAAAAATTGAAGAATCAAAAAATCGAGAAATTTATCAAATAAAACATTGAAACACCGAAAAATTTCATGTTTTAAAAAACGAAAAATCGACAAATCGAGAACCGAGAAATTGAAATATCGAAAGATCAAGAATTTGAACCAAAATCTAAAATTTAATGTTCGAAAAATTGACAAATAGAGATTTCAAAGAACTGAAAAATCGAAAAACAGAGAAACCGACAATTTTTTGGAGGGGATAGGTAATTATATTTTGATTAAATTGATAATTCAAAATTAAATTGCTAAATGTTTTATAATTTTGATTTTTACTTCCCGTTCTTCGTTCCAGTGACTATTTTTAACATTGTTCAGTGTTCTTACAGTCATTCTTATCTTCGCAAGTACTAACCCCTCCCACCCACCCTTAATTTTCTTAGCAGCATTCAGATCAGATAAATCTACTAAGTACGATAGACTTAGACAAAGCATGTGACAGATTATCCAGAAATGAAATTTGGCAGGTTCTGCGGAAGGGGGTTATAAATGTAAAAAATAAGTAAAAAATAAGTAAAAAATAAAATAATATAATAATAAGAAAGGGGAAAACAAACTGTGGACAACACAGCAGAGCAAATAAATGAAGGCAAACGGGGACCACCTCGACTACAGAAAACTAAGAAAGAAATTAAAACATAGAATAGAAAGATGGTCAGAAGAACTAGAAAAATATAACATAGGAATAAACATGGAAAACGGTGACACATACCCTCTTTTTAGACAAAAATGCTCAAAACAACCGCCACGTGTTGAGTTCCAATTTCTTCGTATTCTCTGGTGTTAGAACATTGTATGGTTAGATTAATTGACTCCTTACATCCACAGCCAACAACGTCCATTATTAAAGTAACCTGTAAAGATTCAAAATAAATACCCAATTGCCAAAAAAAGGGAAATGTTACTTTCATCATCATCTGGTCTTCTATGTATATTGGCTTCAACGTGATTTCCATTGAAAATCTTTAACTTTTAACAATGTAGTTTCAAACTTATCTTTACTATGGAAACCATATCCATAGACGCTTTTCGAGATAATTAAACCTTCATAAGTAGTCATGTTGTACTGCATACCTTACTTATTTACATTTATGCCCATTTGACCATAAAAGCCCCATATTTTGAAAACATAATACACTCCTTTCTATTTAGTAAATATATTTAAAGATTTGAAGCACAAAGACCAATACATAATATTTAGAACCGAGGTTTTGCCACTTCTTAAATTTAATAGAGCAGGTTTTTTTCTGTAAAGAGCAGCTTTAATGATGATGGTGATGATGATGGTCATCGGTAGTTGTCTTATTTGGTGGATTGGGACTGAAACTATGGAATTTCTGGATAGCGTCATGCAACTTATCTCCAGGACTCTGCGTATTTCCAACTTGTCTGGCTCCAAACAACTTGTAGCCTTCCTTCAACTCCAACATGTTCACACTGCAGTACAGGAAGGTCTCGAAAGCTAGTAGCTGCTTCTCAGGAGGGGACTCCTCTATAAAAACCAATCCGATCAATAAACAAACCAACTAATCGAGTCAAACTTACTATGAAACGAGCCGATGAACCCAATTCCAAAGGACTCGCTGTTGTAACCATGAGTGTGGGACCCCTTGTGGTGCCAGCCAGTACCTTCATACACCTGTCCGTCACCACCCACCAAGAAGCTATTCGCGACAATCACAACCAAATTTAATTTAAATGACATCGAAAAACAAGAAATTTTGACTTACTTGTAGCCAATGTCGGGGAATTGCTGCTTATCCATGTGATAATCCTGGATACTCTTCACGATGGCATTACAAGCGGCTTCTGTATCACAAGCTTTGGTATCGGTATGATGCACCACCACGTTTTCGACGGGGATGACGACGTGCTCCGTTTCAAGGGGTGGACGGGCACCCCATTTTTGGCGACCGACGATTTTAGGACATTTTGGCAATGTTTCGTCTCCGTAAACGGAGAAATAACAAGAGACCAACACTAGGACTTTTAGAAGCATCTTGTTTGGTGAGGTGTCGTTGTGTGTTTGTTTGTTCTTTGATGGAGGCGGCTTTTATTAAGACGGGAATGATCAGGTGCTGATTAGAGGAGAGTGGGCAGGGAATTCCACGTTGTTGAAGGCGTGCTCCGAAAATACTGATAATGTATTGAATATTCATACCGAGGAAGGTTTTTCCCCTGCAAAATCCAACTAATTTTTGCAGTTGTTTGCACGTTTCAATCCCGGGTCTCCCCTGAACGGTATATTTAATGAGTTTACCTGCTGCAATCAGTCTGATATGGACAGCGGCGGGGAATGCTTTTAACTTGGGTCTTTCTGATTTTTTTTAAATTCCACTTATTCAAGAAAATATTTTAATCATGATATTATTACATTTTTTTTTATTTTATTAAGGTTCACGAGATTCACTGAAGTAATTGAAATATTTAAACTGGACAAATTCTTCCTCTATTGGTTTATTATTTTCTCGCAACGATTTTATTTTTCCACTATTTCTGTCAAAAAACCTCAGTATGAAATTTTTTCGAAAAAAACATCAAATCATTATTAATTTTTGTCTCACAAAATACAACTGTTTTAAGAATGCATTTTTTGTTTTTTTTTTCGCAGAAATGTTTAAAATTTGTTTATTTGAGGCAATTGAAGGCATGTCATGTCAGGTCAGGTCGGGTCAGATCAGGTCAGGTCATAATTAAGTAGTAATGTTTTTATGGACATATATATTGCCTTTTTTTGATATATTTAGTCTTCTTTTCGTAATCAAAAACTTGAAACATGTTCAAAATGGTAAATTTTTAAAGAGAAATATGAATTTTGCAATTAAGCTCCTCCCCGTGGCTCATGACAAATAAAAAATTCATCACAACTAAGATCGGGTCGGTGGGCGGGGCTTATATTTTGCTGCTTTTTTGATATGTTTAATCGTCTTTTCATAATCAAAATTTGAAACATGTTCAAAATGGTAGTTTTTATAGAGAAATATGAATTTTGCAATTAAGCTCCTCCCTGTGACTCATGGCAAATAAAAAAGTCAGACAGACAGACAGAAAAATTAGATAGTTTAGGCTCCTCCTCGTCGCTCATGGCAAATAAAAAAGTGGGGCTTATATTTGCTTTTTTAATATATTGAGTCTTCTTTGCATAAGTAAAAAACTTGAAACATGTTCAAAATAGTACATTTTTTTAGAGAAATATGAACTTTGCAGTTAAGCTCCTCCTCGTGGCTCATGACAAATAAAAAGTTTTCACAACTAAGATCGGGTGGGTGGGCGGGGCTTATATTTTGCTTTTTTGATATGTTTAATCGTCTTTTTATAATCAAAATTTGAAACACGTTCAAAATGGTAGTTTTTATAGAGAAATATGAATTTTGCAATTAAGCTCCTCCCTGTGACTCATGGCAAATAAAAAAGTCAGACAGACAGACAGAAAAATTAGATAGTTTAAGCTCCTCCTGGTCGCTCATGGCAAAAGTAATCACAACTGAGATAGGGCGGGTGGGTGGGGCTTATATTTTGCTCTTTTAATATATTTTGTCTTCTTTTCATAATCAAAAACTCGAAACATGTTAAAAATGGTAAATTGTTATAGAGAAAAATAAATTTTGCAATTAACTGTTCCCCATGGGTCATGAGAAATAAAAAATTCATCACAACTAAAATAGGGTGGGTGGGCGGAACAAATATTTTACTTTTTTTTAATATATTTGGTCTTCTTTCCATAACCAAAAACTTGAAACATGTTCAAAATGGTAAATTTTCTATGGAGAAATTTGAATCCTGCAATTAAGCTCCGCCCTGTGGCTCATGGCAAATAAAAAAAATAATCACAACTAAGATAGGGTGGGTGGGCGGGGCTTATATTTTTTTTTTTGATATATTTAGTCTTCTTTTAATAACCAAAAACTTGAAACATGTTCAAAATGGTACATTTTAATGGAGAAATATAAAATTTCACATTAAGCTCCTTCCTGTGGCTCATGGCAAATAAAAAAAATCATCACAACTAAGATAGAGCGGGAGGGTGGGGCTTATATTTGCTTTTTTAATCTATTGAGTCTTCTTTGCATAAGTAAAAAACTTGAAACATGTTCAAAATAGTACATTTTTTTAGAGAAATATGAATTTTGCAATTAAGCTCCTCCTCGTGGCTCATGGCAAATAAAAAAGTCATCACAACTGAGATAGGGCGGGTGGACGGGGCTTATATTTTGCTTTTTTGAAATGTTTAATCTTCTTTTCATTATCAAAAATTTGAAACATGTTCAAAAGGGTAATTTTTATAGAGAAATATGCATTTTGCAATTAAGCTCCTCCCTGTGGCTCATGACAAATAAAAAATTCATCACAACTAAGGTAGGGCAGGTGGGCGGGGCTGATATTATGGTATTTTTAACATATTTAGTCTTCTTTCCATAACCAAAAACTTGAAACATGTTCAAAATGGTAAATTTTTATAGAGAAATGTGAATTTTGCAATTAAGCTCCTCCCCGTGGCTCATGGCAAATAAAAAAGTCAGACAGACATACAGAAAAATTAGTTAGTTTAAGCTCCTCCTCCTGGCTTGTGGCAAATAAAAAAGTCATCACAACTGAGATAGGGCGGGTGGGCGGGGCTTATATTTTGCTTTTTTTAAATGTTTAATCTTCTTTTCATTAGCAAAAATTTGAAACATGTTCAAAATGGTAATTTTTATAGAGAAATATGCATTTTGCAATTAAGCTCCCCCCCGTGGCTCATGACAAATATAAAATTATCACAACTAAGATAGAGCGGGTGGGCGAGGCTTATATTTTGCTTTTTTGATATATTTAGTCTTCTTTTCATAACCACAAACTTGAAAAGTGTTCAAAGTGGTACATTTTTATAGAGAAATCTGAATTTTGCAATTAACTCTTCCCCGTGGCTCTTGACAAATAAAAAATTCATCACAACTAAGATAGGGTGGGTGGGCGGGGCAAATATTTTACTTTTTTTTTATATATTTGGTCTTCTTTCCATAGCCAAAACTTGAAACATATTCAAAATGTAAATGTTTATAGAGAAATATGAATTTTGCAATTAAGCTCCTCCTCGTGGCTCATGGCAAATAAAAAAGTCATCACAACTGAGATAGGGCGGGTGGGCGGGGCTTATATTTTGTTCTTTTGAAATATTTGGTCTTCTTTTCATAATCAAAAACTTGAAACATGTTCAAAATGGTAAATTGTTATAGAGAAAAATGAATTTTGCAATTAACTGTTTCCCGTGGGTCATGAGAAATAAAAAATTCATCACAACTAAGATAGGGTGGGTGGACGGGGCAAATATTTTACTTTTTTTTAATATATTTGGTCTTCTTTCCAGAACTAAAAACTTGAAACATGTTCAAAATGTAAATGTTTATAGAGAAATATAAATTTTGCAATTAAGCTCCTCCCCGTGGCTCATGGCAAATAAAAAAGTCAGACAGACACACAGACAGAAAAATTAGATAGTTTGTGCAGACATGATATTTTTTTCAATAAAAATTTCTTTTAAGTCAAAAACCGTTTAGGGCTTTCATGTTTAGAAACAATTAACAAACTAAAATTTCCATTGTAGAAACAAATCATTCTAATAAAATCCACCAAATACCTTTGCACCTACATATTTTTGAATGTAATATTTTTGCTTACTTGTGGAGATTTTGGGCTATTTTGACGAAGCTATTTTAACGTAAGTAATTTTGTCAGGGGCTATTTTGTCGGGGCGAGTTTTATCGGGGTGGTTTTGCTCCAGACTTGTTTTGTACAATTTACCTAAGATGTTCTGGGACCATAGAAAATTGTATTATGTGGGTCTTTTCAACTGACTGCATTCTAGAGCTCATTCTAATTCTCCTTATACTGAAGAACTTTTCCGGGTTGCTCTTACTTAAAACTAGAAAAATTCGGATATTTTTAAGAAACTCTGTATTTTACATTGTCCGTACTTGGGAGAGCAAATTCCAAGAATTTGCTTTTTAAAGATAACATAAATAATAAAATGAACAAAAAGCTGGACCTGAAAACTCAGGCAAATCATTTACTAAGAAGACATACAATTAAAAAAATCTGGTAATTCAATACGATTTATTGCAATCTATTGCAATCAGGTTTACATCCGATCACTCATAAAGATGACCTTTTTTTCGGAGCATCATTCGGTTCAGTTTTCTTTATTGGCTTGCCGTCTCTCCATCTTGTGATCTTGATACTGGTGATATCTCTTTTCATTGCGTCTGCTCTAAATTCAGGTTTCAACGCCAATCGAACCAACCTGGCGCAAATGCTGGAGTAGTTGACGTAGCTAAGACCAGCGTCTCTCCACGCGGGCATTTTCAAACACTGGAATTGTCACAAGAACAAAAATGTCTGGATAATTCGACAAGACAGTTGTTATTTTGACAACGTCAAATGCATAGTTAACGCGATAACTGCCAGAGGAAAAAAGCGCCAATTTTTGAAGTTCATTGAAGAAATACTTTTTTGAATTCTTTTTTTAGGAATTACGAAAGCGGTCTAAATTTATTAGTATCCTTTAATCGCAACTGTTTTTTTTTAATGGGGATCATATTTGTTAATTTTAAGCAATTTGGCAAGATATATGTCAGATTTTATTTAATTTTTCTGTTAGTACAGGTTATTTTCCATCCTTGTGGATATAAACCACTTTGTTGACATTGTGTGCCGCCTTTCACAGTTTTGTGGAAAGGATTTTGGTGATTAGCAGTTGTTTGTCATAGTTGAGTTGACTACAGTATTTTATAATGACCCTAATCTTTGGCTTTATTTTTTTTTTTCTTATTAGTAGTATTAATTTATTATTTGCCTTACAGGCTTAATAAGATTCCCAGTAGGGGTACAAATTTACTTAATCTACAGTTTTAATACAGACAAATCAATTAGTTTCCTTACCTTCCATACTTCTTTCATCCAGTCCAGTGTTGCGCGTAGGGGTTGGCAATTCAAACAGATTGGGCAGTATACCAAATTTATTAGAAGGAAATGTCGCTGGTACGGGTGTTGGTTACAATTATC